CTAATAATTAAGTCGGCTCGGAATTTGCACACATCAAAGGAAATTATATTTTAATATTGTTTGTTTGGAGTAATGCTTGGCTGCATAAATCTAAATTATATATATACAACTAGTAAATGATCCACTTTGATTGGTTAATAATGCAATCTGTAACATTGTACTTTGCCCACTTGTAATCGAAGAATTTGCATGAGTCTTGAAATTGCTCGTCGGAAGCGCATATTGAGGCTATGTTAGATGAGGGATATCCTAAGTAGCAAAGAATTGAGTTAAAGTTAGTAAGAAATGGATCATATAATACAAGATTAGAAGAGATTAGTAATGACCTCTATGAGCATTAGAAATGCATGTGAGATGTATTTGAAAATGACACTTTCCAAGCAGAGATTTGCAAATCTCTCCCACATATATCTTTGTAATGCTTATGAATGGCATAACTAATCACTTTAATCTACAATTTTATGATCCATTTCTTACCAACTTGGATTCATTCCTTCAGACTTAGAAGTCCCTCATCCATATATAGCCTGAGTGAATTCTACAGAGGAGCTCCAAAAAGTGACTGTAGTGAATTCTCTTTAATATCGATTGGATTTATTCGTATGGAATAATCCCTTATTTGCTTTTCCAAAAAAAATAATAATAATAATAATAATCTTTGAAAGTTTGGGATCTACAAAATAAATTAATTTTCTAACACCAGTCCTCTCAAATTTGTCCTGCTGTTAACGCATCATGTATTGATATATTTTGTTGGAGGGTATTAAAGCTACTCACATCCAATTAAAACGTTGGATGATTACAGATAACGTTAAAATTAGTTTTAATGGAAGTGTCACAAATAATGTCAAATGCATTACAAATTTACAATGCAAGTTTTTAATTAATAATTGAGATATTCAGGTTGGTTGACAATTTTTATATATCATAATTAAGACATTTTGCACGTTCTACGTCAAATTCCAAAGGGATGTGATATCCACACACCCCATTTTACTTCTCACACACCCCTTTTTACTTCTCACACAACCCTTATTAATTTTTGTCATTTGATTTTCTTCAATTCATTCAATCCGACGATCGGAAATTAAGAGAGTGTGTGAGAAGTAAAAAGGAGTGTGTGGATAGTACACACCATTCCAAATTATATGGTTAATCATGTTTTTTTTTTTTTTAGTACATCTATCTTTTTACACTAAAGGGAGGGGGATTTCTGTTGAGCCACACAATGGGCAGCCTAGCTAATTTGATATTGAATTCGCCATCCATGAGATTCGAACCTAAGACCTCTCACTTTCAAGTGAAGAGGAATACTTCTAGACAGTAGTACTAAGTGGCTATGGTTAATCATATTTTATCTAAGAAGCTAAGACAACTAATGGTAGGACAGTAACATAATCAGTTTTGTATTTTTTAAAAAAATAAATAATGATATTATCTACACTAAGGGTGTGTTTGTTTGACCGGATTAGGGGAGACTGGACTAGACTAGACTAATTGCTAGTGTAGTCCCATGTTTGTTCTGAACAAGGATTAAGTTTAATGAGTTTAGATAGGACTCGCTCGGATTATACACTTCGCTAGGAGTTCTTAACGAAGGACCCCAATTTTGGCCGAACTCATAAGCCCTTCTGATAGAGAGAAAACCGCGAGAGAGTCACTCGTCCAAGAACCCCAACGTTGCTCGTCCTACTCATCACACATCACTCCCTCATTGCCCTGCTCCCTCATCGCCGTCCTCCTCACCCTCATCTCTATGCCCTCCCTCATCTGCATCTGCTGGCCCTCATCTGCTCTAAGTTGTCTGGTAAACTTCAAATCTTTGATTTATTTCGTCGATTTGTTTTGCAGATTGTGATATTACTGAGCTTTATTTGATTTTGTTTTTTTGGATTTGAGAAAATTTCAATCATAGACCTCTGCACTTGAACAGATTAGGGTTTTGATTTTTAGGTCAAATTGAGATTAGAATTTGAGGTTCTCATATTTCTGTGTAGTTTTTTGTTTTTATGTTCTTGGTTCACGAATCGATGACTGGATTGAGAATGACAAGGATTATGAAAGTTAAGCACTTACCTTGATTTCCTTTTGGTAATTCTCTTTTGGATGTTTATTTGATTTCGTTTTTACACTTCTTATCACATACTGCATCACAAATCGAAGAAAAAGTACAGCGGTTCATCGTAATTCAGGGTCCAAGTTACTCTAGAACTAGAAGTATTTGTAGGGAGATTCCAAACCCAAAGACCTCTTGCAACCAATATCACGTTAGAAACCATCGGACACTAAGTTTAAGCTATTTAGAGAATGAACCATCAGTAACTGATATATGTATAGTAATCTAACTGGAATATTTATGTTTACCTAAGAATCTAAAATGCTTTCAAGTTATGGATTTATTTATTTAATTAGTTTTTTTCCCATTGTCTTGTAATTGCCAATTGGTGGCTTTGTTTCATCTGGTTTTGTTCTCTTGAAACTCTTTTGTGGTACAGATCCCATTATTGGTTGCGGAGAAGAGGAGCATAAACGGAAGTGGCCGATACTCAGAACCCAAGGGAAAACAAGTAACAAATGACTCAAAACCCTCGAGTCTAGAAGTAAAGGTATAAGTCCTTAACCCATAGATCAATTTTCGACATGGATCTATTGAATGTAGTCCTTGGATGTGTGAAAGTCTGCATTGCATCTTTGTGAATATGACTTCTGTGATATTATAGAAAAACCAAACTGTTTAGGCAATGTAAAAATTCAATTCTACGAAGTTCTATCTATTTGAGCTAAATAACCTTCTTGCTTGAAAATTCAACAGAAATTCTGACAAAATTTCATATATATATAGTGATTTTCTGGCTGGGGCCTTCCACATGTATGGGCACAATCTAACATAGATTTCTAGGGGTAAATGTTACATTTTCAAGTTTGGTACATAAAAGAAAAATTGTGATGCAGATAATGAAGATATTGTCATATGAAAAGTAAGCGTCATGAAAATCAAATATATGTTTCCAATTTGATTGGTTAACTTTTGTTTTTTATTTGCCTACACTTTTTCAACTTAACCTTGTGACTTGGCTGGTTTATTTTGGTACAATGGGTTGTTGATGCAGTTAGTTGTTTAAGAATTCTTTGTATATCGTTTCTTTTGATCTAGTTCATTTGATATCACACACAATTGCTTTGTATCATGAATTCTTTGATCTAGTTAATTTGATATAATACTCACTTCATTTTAATCATCCTTAATAACAGTAAATATTACATATATAATGTCCTCATTAATTTTCCTTTTTTTTTTTTTTTTTTTTTTTTTTTTAGTTTGGATCAAATTGATGTATTGACTCTTATTTTGGAAAAACCATAAAATGTGGGAGTGTTCAGGTCAATCGATTCAGAACTCAAGAAAGTGTTCGTCCAAAGGCTTTTAAGCGACAAAGCAAGCGGATGAGTATATTATTTGGTACCTTTTGACATGGATGTATTTTATTAATCGTACAATCTTAGGTTATGGCTTCTAACTTAGCCTTGTACTGTGAAATATTTTGGCTAATGTTAACTAGGATTTTGTAAATTATGGAGATGTACTTTGGAATGCTATACTATAGTTAACTAGCATTTTGTAAAATATTCTGGAGGAAAGTTTAGTGAATGATGTTTTAGAGAGCCAGTCAATGGCAAAGATTGACTTGTGCAATGAAATGATGAAGTAATTGCTCCTCTCTTTCTTTTGCATATTGTTAATAGAGGATGTTGTATAATTACTAGTATATATATGTATATATGTGCTTAATCAGACAAAACAAAAATTCCATAAGCATGATTATTGTTATTACTAGCTTAGGAATGCATAAATTGTTCATGACTCTTCCTTTTGCATATTGTTACCAGTTTTCTTCAAACTAGTTGGAGCAAGCCAATTTACTTGTTAGGAATCCAAATGTAGCAATGATCAATGTGCAGCTATCCATTTGTCATTGTGCCTCGCATCATTGTGGTCTTGGGATTGAATGCAATTGTCATGGTATGGATTGAAATTGGCTTATACATATAAGAGCAATTCCAAGTAATTATTTCACAATTGAGTTAAAAACTAAACTTGTCATACATCAATTTTCGTTCTACTCAAATACAAGTATAAACCAACACCTTTAATTTTAATCTACAACTTTAAACCAATGGTGAATTATTAAGAAAAACATCCTAAACCCTGTCGATTGTTGGGAGAATATTTTGTTATATTGATGTTTGGAACAATGCTACTCTTGAATCATGTATATTTCTTTTGTTCGCAAAAAAATTTGGTTTTTGTATTTTTATTGAGTCTCACTATCATCCAATATTGTTAATTTTAATAATATCTTTAATAAAAAAAATAAAAAAGCAATTAAAATAGAACAATAAAGTAGTCCTAGTCTAAGCAAACACCAAACTGGTGAACAGTACTTTTCCTGCTTCTTAGTCTGACATTGCACCAAACGTTTCACTAAACTAGTCCAGCGTAGTCCCTGCAACTAATCCAGTCCGAGACAGTCTGATGCAACAAACGCACTCTAAAGGCGTGGGGACTGGACTAAGCTCCTCACAATAGGCTAGCAGTAATGTGGTTCAAATTCGCCTTTAGCAAGAATCGAACCTAAAACCTCTCGCTTACAAAGTGAAGATAAATACCACTAAATAGTAGTACTAAGCAGCAATCAATTTTGTATTTAGTTTACTAATTTTCCTCATATGATAGTTCTTGGCTAGGTTGAACTTTAATACCTTAGGTAATAGGATCTGCGAGGATCCATGTTGTAATGTTTTTTTCTCCTGAAAAAACTCACTATAAATACAAAAACTAAATTTATGTACTTCGATCATATTTTTTTTTTTTGGTCGAAAGTATTTCAATCAAATTAGAAGGATACGAACGAATCACTAATCTGAGACCGAGCTCAGGCCCACCACCACTGAAATTCGAGGATTGGGGTGTTTGTATGATATTACAAATATAAGGGGTCATTACAAAAGTATATATACATCACCCATAACTTGATATACAAGGCATTCAGCAGTTGAAGAATACAAAACAAAGAAAACACTTAAATCTTCCGAAGTATAAGCCTACAAGCCGAATTTTCTTTTACATATCGCAGTCTCCTCTATTCAAAGCACAAATATGGTTAGAGCAAAACTATCTTTCCACGGCCATTGCAGGCAAGTCATGATCGTGCAGAAGAGCACTTTGTGCAGTAGCTCCATTTCTTTGGAAGCCTGATACCATTTAGGAGGAACTTACGCATGAATCAAATTAGGACGAGAGAGAAAAGAAGGGCAATGGAGAAGGAATGTGAGAGAAACACAAAAGAAAGTGTACCCTGCTGTGTATCGAGTGGCCATATTCTTAGAAGCCAATCTTGCCCTCTCAGCACTTTCGTCTGAGAGTTTCTTGAGTACAAAGCCTTCACCTTTGCATTCAGGACATATCCCAGAACCACGACAGGCTTCACATATTTTCATAGGAACCTGCACTTCTGAAAAGGAGTTCATATGGATAGATAGCTCAGGCACATGAAAATAGATGTGACACGGTCATAATTACCCTCTTAGAACTTTCGTCGGCACACAATTGAATTATTACATGTTCTATCAATGCCGTTCTTTAAAGGAAACAAATTTGTCTTTGTAAATTATTAGTTAGCTGGAAGTAATGCTCTGATTGTTGTTTTATAATTAAGTACATGCCTCTGCTTCCTCAGAAGCTTTGGTTCTCTTCGCAAGAATCGTAGCTGCTGTACCAACAACTGCAGCAGCAATTGCTATTGAAGCCACTGTTTCATGTAGAGCAGAAGATACCAAGGACGATGGTCTTCTTCTTTGCTCTTGCGGCTTTACGTTGACTGAAGAACAAAAGTCACGATCCAATCAATAAAGTACACTATATCAGAAGAAAGATCATTGCACTTAAATCTGTTAGTAAAGGAGAATCCTAACCAAACACTAAGTACCAAATTAAGTGGCATGCACTGCAACTTGAATTGTACAAAGAGAACGTTAAGGTGTTAGATTAAGGAATAAAACTTATACTTCGCCTGATAGAAACAAGGGGAAGAAGGAAATTGAAACATGAACCCAGATATTTTCACGCGTATTGCTGTTGTTTATTGGGAAGCAGAGCACAAAGTTTTAAGTTTGAAACAATGAAACGAAAGAGATGGAAGCACATCAAGCTCAATGAAAATATGGAAGAACATGAATTCTCAATACGACCAAGCAATGTTGAAGAAATCAAGATACTAACTTCGTCTCAAAATCAAGATACTAACTTGCTATAAGCTTTATCATCATACGATTCTCGCTTAGACCAAGTAAACAAACCTAATGCTGAAGAAATCTCATTATGGTTGAAACCGTACGATAAAGAACGGCATAAATTCAAGGATTCCCAACCATACAGGAGTATTTAAGGGATTTTTAGAGCAAAGTTCTAGTCCACGAAACCTTTGCAGGACTAGTGCCCTGTTCTTTTTTAGCCAAAAGAAAAATGGACTAGTGATCAGAAACTAGAATCTTGATCCTCAATATTATGACAAAGAACAAACAGATGGAAATGTTCTTTGTTACTATTTGCAAAGTTTCAGTTACACTTACAGAAGCTCCGATTGTGCAGATTTCGTGTTTTAAAATATAGCTTACCAGCATCAAATCCAGACAAAAAAAGACAATGCTGTAAAATTAATGATAATTCATTGTTTACCATCCCTAACTTTAAATTAACAGATTATATCAGTTGTTCCGAAACCCAATAGAACTGGAAAGGAAGATTACTCAAAACTGTAGAAACCGGCACACACTTAGGTAATAAAAATCTTCAACACGGCACATTGCTAGACAACAATGTACAGAATTCTCCGTTGGTTTCTGCATAAGATTTTTCAGTGTCAGTTGTGTCATGAGTGGACAGAAGGAGCTATTGCGGCTTATGGTCTGATGCGGTTTGGTCCTCACATTGTTAGATGCTCCCCCTCCCAGTGGTGAGCAACTGATTATTGAGGATTTATTAGGTGTTGCTAATCCTCGCTTAGTGTCAATTTAAGTTCTTCATTTTGGACCTTTGGTCACCATATGTAGCAAAAAAAGAAAATGAAAACTAGACACAATCAGATCCACCCAATACTAATACAGGGAAGCCACACGATACAAGTGAGTGCTTCAGTGCAAAGAGAAATCAACCAAACATTGAATGAAAAACCAAGTTCTTACACAAATGGTAGAACCTAATTATGGACTGCTTTCACATGTTTCAGGCTCCACCTTGCTTCCTACCAGCCACACTAAAGTTCACCTAAATTCTAATCTCACCATCTTGCTACCCCAACCCCATCTTACATTTTGCACTCCCCGTCTACTTAAAGACCGCGTTTCTCAATAGAATCCCTAAACTCATATCAGTACAGGAAGCAAATACTTCACCCATCAAAAGCAAGTTACTGAAAAGAAGCACTTATGCTCTCAGAGAAAAGCTGCTCAACTTAATTTCACCCCCCACCAAACCAACCAAGAAGCACAACCCAGAAAGATCAATTCACTCAGTTTCTTTAACCAACATTAGTTCTAAGTGTCCCCATTTATTGGCATCCCCTCAACAATAACTTGTATGAAAAAAATTCGGTAGAAAAAAAGGACCATCTTTTATGTTGGTTTTAATTAGGAAAACCCCTTACAACAGCAACCAGCTTCCTCCATAAAGATTATAAATGGTATGGGTATTGGTGGAATAACCAAATCATTGGAACTCACTTTCCTAATCACTCACAAATGCAGAATAAATCCCACAGTAATGTCAATCTTTTGTGGGCGCTCTCCATTCATGGCTTGCCTCATTTTTATTATTTCTTGACGTTTACTTATTAACCTTTTCTTTTACAACAGAGCGGTATCTAAACTACTTTAATCTACATGAGAGCAAACACACTACTCTAATCAACGGATCTAACCTATGTCTACCAGTTGCTTACCAACCGTGAGTGCCTAAGATTAAAATTGTAAAGCAAATCAATAATCAACAACTTCACTTTCTATATAATTAACACATAAATTGGGAAGATATGCAGGTGCACAATAAATACATACATAAAGCTTGGAAATGATGCTTGAAATTAATAAAATTTGGGATATCTTAGGAAGGGAAGAAAATGATATTTTGCCCACAGCTAGCTCCATCATTTACTGTGTGTTATCGAGTAAGGCAAAATATGATTGTCGTTCCGTTATCTTAACCACCTTATCTTAGCTGCTGGGTCTGGTCGTTAGTTGGCCTTGGTTGTGAACACAATTTCAGAAATGCCATTTTCATTTTGGGGCTCAAAATGTGCATTTATTTATGGTCGGAAATTGGTGAAAATGGGACATTTGTGACTTAGGCCTTAGTTTGGTATTGTTGTCATTTTAAAAAGAATTACTTATGTTGTGCTGTGACAATAAATAACTGTAAAATAAAGTTGTTGAATGTTTAGTAAACTTTTGTATAAAACTGTTGTGAATATATTAAATGACTATAAATGATATGGTATTGAATGTGATATAATAATTGTTAAAGAGAATAATGTACGGGCAAATATTGTAATTCTGTAAAATATGCAGGGTATACTTATCATTTAAAATTTCATTAAATGGGCACTGTTCACTGTGAAAAAAAAAAAAACACTCTTTTTTTTTACCATACTTCTGCTTTTCTGTACTTTTATGTTGTCATTAATAGCACTTTTTTTTTTTGTTTTACCAAACACATTTGATGTTTCAGATTTTTTAATAAGCTACCACAATCCCAAATTAGCTCTTAATCATAAGGAGTCGTTTGATAATCATTTCAATGTTTAAATTTTAATTTTAAGTTTCTACATTTGAGTTTTGATTTTAACAAAAATGGTAATTATTTCAGTTTTTGTTTATGTAGAACTTCGTATATGGTTTGAGGTCATAATAAAAGCGCACGTGACAAAGAGTATGTAGCATTTTTCAGAGTTAGGATGAGCGTGTGATAAAAATTGTCTGCTAATGTAGTCCCAAGGTCATGAATCATGATGAAGGTTATGGGGCCTAAAACGTGTTTGCAATCAATAAGAGTTATGGATGCCAAATTTTAGAACGGGAATGTCATGCATGTTTTTTGACCCAGAATCGATGAATGAGAAAGGAAAATAAAAAACAGATCCAAATTTTAAATTTAACTTTGGAATCAGTAGGTTTGTTTTTTTTTTTTTTCTTTGTTTTTTTGGAAAAATGACCATTTGAATTGGTTGCCGAACAAGTTTTCAAACAAGTGATAGAGTTGTAACATTTACAAACCTTCTATTTGGCTATTTACCGTGAGCAAGCGTATTAATGACGTATTCACGACGTCCTTTGTGTTTGTTGTGCTCTAAATATCTAATATTTGTAGTTGCGCAGATATTCCCATGGGACCTGTGACTCAATCAACTTGAATCTCATACATTAAGGATCAGTTTACTAATCCGTAATTAAAAGGAGAGGAATTGAGTTGATGAGGAATTAAATTAATGAGGGGTTGGAATGGGGAGGAGTTGGAATTGGATTCATGTAGTAACTCTTTACTAAAGTTTTCTGGAATCGGAATAAAAATAGTATTGATTTCGTTTAAGTTGTTTATTAATTTACCGAAATCGGAATATAATCCAATACTAAAATGCCCTTATCCAGAATATATATAATAAATTGAATTATTATTTATGTACTAATTAATAAAAAATTATTTATTAAAAGAGTGAAAATAAATAAAATAAAAAATAAAGAAACCCTAACCAATATTATCCTTTTTCTCTTTCGTCAAAAAAAAAAAACAAAATCTCATCCTTTTGTTCATAGAAACCCACTCCTCATCGCCACTATAACTCTCTCTCTCTCTCTCTCAATCCATTGCATTATGATTTCAAGATTATCTGTTTCAAGTTCTCGGCATCTCATGGCAAGTGGATTTGGGTTGGGTTGATGATATGTAGTGGTTGCGGTGATTAGGGAAGGAGTGGCACTGGACAAGGGCGTTGGATAGCAGAGGATGGATTTCCGTTGGTGATGCAAAGGGTAGTGTTGGAATTTTCAAAATAAAGTGAGGGTATAATTGGTTGAAGATTCACATTCCGGATTCCCCATAACACTTGGAATTGGATTACTACCTACATCTAAGGAATCCAATTCCTCCAATATAAGGAATTGAATTCCAAAATTTGTGTGGGCCCCGCTACTATTTTCAATATTTAGTAAACCCCGGAGTACTCCGCAATTGAAATTCAATTCTACATTTTCATTCCAATTACAAATATGTAAACACGCCCTAAATAGTTTCGACCACAAAACAAAAACAAAAAGAACGTCATACATTTTTAGATTTCAAAAAAATGTTTCTACTTCTGAAACATGGAATACTCCACATGCACACGGTGTGATTGCATGCATGCATACGTAACCTCATCTGTTTTATGGGTTGTAAAAGTTTAAACTCTAGATGTTCGAGTTTAAAGCTCATTTCATGCCCGGTATTTTATCATCAAAACTCTTGTTTTAGTTGCGGGTAAGAAAAGATGCCTGTAATACTATTAAAATAATGTTACTCTAGCTTTATTGAGTGTAATATGTCCTACTGTATTGATACCATTAATTAAGAGATTTAACTTTTATGTGAAATGTAGTTGCTGATATCTGCTATTCTCAAACCAACTAATTGTGTAATCGACAGCAAAACCAAACCCACCCAACTCTTCCGGGAATGGCATTTTGCCATGATAGTCGAATTAAAAGTTGTAACTCATGATTGCAGCATGTACATTCATTCTTTCTTTCATAACTTACATTAGTGTCTTAACTTATAAAATACATATTTTCTTCCCACTTGTTTCATAAATCTGATATGAATATTAGGCATTAGCATTTTGTTGTTTGGGAGGCAATTTTAATATGGTGGTGGATAAAAATCCTAATTATCTTCACCAAGAAAGTAGTTGGCCTATTTTCTGTTTTAATTATTGTTTTATTTAATAGTTGATTGCTTATGGGTAGATGATGTTAATGAGATCCTTTAGAAGAGTGAGTAATTTGCTCATTGCTGCCTTTCTACTTGCATACTCATGGAGAGATTTTTTAACATGTCCAGAATACAGGGTAGGATACTACATGTTATTATACAATTAGAGGAATACTTAAAAAAAAAAAAAAAAAAAAAATATTCCTCTCATTGTATAATAACATATGGTGTACTACCCTGTGTTTCGGGCACACTGAAAAATCTCTTCATCCCATGGGTGTACCACCGTATCCACAAAATTTGGAATTAACGAAGCCATTCGTTTCCTTAATCATCATGAGAAGTTAAACTCTTGATATACACAAAATTAACAGAGGGAGATTTGAATTCGAAACCTCAGATTCAAGAAATGATGTTCTTAACCAACTAAGCTATCAGTGCCTTGCAAACTCAACTCATTTTAATGTATTTGAATCAAGCCTCAAGCTCACTGGCATATGTTATGCCCGAAGTACTATATACAATGATAATTTGAATTAGTGACATAACTTTTAATTTGTTTGAGTATGCATTGAATTCAAATCTAACCTAAAATTAGGAAGAAATATCATATCCAAATTGTTATTAATCTCACATCTCTTATGTATTTTGTTAAATTCATATTCATCTTTCATTATGCTCGTGATTACCGAATAACAAAAGGTAAGTGCATAGCCAAATACTTATTAAATCCTGAAGTTATTGGGCTTCTATGAAGTTTCCCTTTCACCAGAAAGAAGTGGTCACTTAGCACCTCCAGCTCTCGATCAAAATTTTCAATTTTTAATTTTTTTGGTGGGAAACATTAGGTTAGTTTGGAGAAAAATAATGAAGGATATTAAGAAACCGAGTGCAAACCGTGCTATGACAGAAAACTCACGGACATCCTCCTTCCTGCACAGTCTAAAGAAGCATGTACCAACCACAACCCCAACACTAATATTACAAAGACAATGAGCTGTGCAACCTCTTGCATTGTTCAGCTACTCACGAGCTTATTTAAGACCCCTTTCCAATTCCCCCCTCCTTATATAAACCTCTCAAAACTTCCATATACTTCAAACCCTCACAAACCAGAAAAAATAAAAACTCAAAACATATTCCAGATATGTCTACCTATCTTCTCCCCGTTGTACTCTTATGTTCCTTACTCTTGTTGTCTGGTTTTGACATCTCTATGGCTGCAAGAAACATCCCATCTAGCGCTCCGAGCACGATGGTGAGGCCTCTGGTTACTGAAGGACGAGATCGCTACGTGAGCATGAAGCCTCGGGACTTGAATCCCAAACAAGAAGTTTTTCATGGGAGGGAAGTGAAGGGTTGCTTGCCGAAGGGGTTTACGCATGCATCGGCTCCTAGCCGGTTTGTGAACTATCACGCACTTGGCTCAGGGTGTTCTTCTGCCAAGGGTTCCAAGAAACCTTGATGCCGGAAAGGTATTCAATGGGTGCTTTGTATATGATTTTGGCATTTATGCATGGTGCATTTGAATGGGGAATAAGTGTTATTGTATATGCCGGTTATACATAACATTGTCGCTTACAGTATGCATGTGAGTCTCACTATTTCATAGTGGATCAAACATTGTATGTTGTGAGAATATAATCGGCACATACAATAATTCTTGAAAGGAGATGGACAGAGAAAGTTATGAATTTAAAACATAGTTTTGGGTCGTGATGACAAAATGAGAGAAGTGTTGATTTATTTTTTTTTCTCAAAAATTCATTTGTGTGAGTTTAATTTGTTACGTTTTTCTTCACCTAGGTGGGTGATGGTTGTATTTATCTTATATATATGTATGAAGTTTTTGAACCAATGCTTCTCCAATGTGTGATTCTTTCTTTTTCTTTTGCTTTTGAATACATCTCTCCTTAGTCTCCTATATGATTAATATAATCATGGAATGCCAAATGGAAATACTTCATATGAAATTTGAAGAAATAGTAATTAATTATTTTGGCTATTAAATTCCCGTAATTTATTTATGAAGTGTAAAGGAAGATAGAAGCCAAATTAAATTGGAAGTTGAGGGCAGTAAAAACCTGGCCTAGCTTAACATTTGCTGAGCAATTCACCAACCAAAATAACTACACTCCTGCGATCGTGACGTATGAGTTTCATCAAGTTTTCATTTGTCCATTTACTCATTTATCCATTTTGCAACTAATCCAGGCCTTTGAAAAAAGAGAAATGCTAAGGAGACTCTCAAAAGTGAAACTTTTCATGGATTCTATATCATATTATGTTTTTAGCACAATTTGTTATAATATCAGCACAAAAATTGACGTTAATTAAAGAGGTAGAATAGAATCCATATAGAGAGTCACACTTTAGAAGAATTCTTTTAGCATTTCTCTTGAAAAAATGAGATGAAAAAACGAAGCCCTCCATCCAGTTTGGGTGTTACTTTCTTTTCCCGTGAAAATCAGACAAATATGTCCCCACTAACAATTCAGTCTTCAGAATGTAATGAGAAATCAAGCCAAGAACTAGATCTAATTTAGAGATATAATTGAAAAGCTAAGGGTCTGTTCGGCAATCACTTTATAGATAACATCTAAATTATCTGTCTAGTAGAGATAGAATCCATAATATAAGTAGGGCAATTGAAGAAATGAATAACGAAAATATAAAACAAAAGACACAAATAAAAACAGAAAAACAAAAACCAAAACCCATTTTAAATTTCAATGTTTAGTTTTCATTTTTCCGTCCCCCTCACAATACTTCTTCATCTCTTTCCTCATTATGAAATTGTAGCAATAATCCTTCAATTTTAATTAAATTGGAGCAATGGTTCCTCAACTAAAAATCCATTATCATTGGTCCCTCCACTCATCAAAATATGCAGCTATTGTTTTTTTCGTCAACTTTGTCAAAACGAGTTACGTTGGAATGACCATTCCTACAATTGGGATCCCTCAACTTATCAAAACATGTAGTTATGGTCATTTTCGTCAACTTCCAGAATTTTGTCAAAATTAGTTTATGTTGGAAGGACCATTGCTACAATTGGATTAAAGTTGAAGGACTATTTCTCCAGTTGGATTAAAGTTGAGGGCCCAATGGTAATGAATTTTTAGTTGAGGGACCATAGCTACACGTTTTGATGAGTTGATGGACCAATAGTAATGGATTTTTAGTTTAGGGACCATTGCTCCAATTGAGTTAAAGTTGAGGAACAATTGTTACAATTTACTCTTTTTTCATATCTCAAGCATAAATAGTGAAGGTAAAAAATCAAAAGCAAAATGATTGTTTATATTGACCCATGCTGAAAAATAAAATCACAGTCGAAATATCTAACTATTTAGAGAAAGGCCCTTTGACCTAAAGCAATGTTTGGATGAAGAATTTAAGATTTCCAAGAAATTCTAAAATAATGGAATTTGAAATGTTAGAAATTTATTTTCTAAAATTCATGAAATTTTTTTTTTTTTTAGGTACCTAAAAGAATAAAAAAATACAAATACGGGGTTTAATGTCACATCCCGGGCTCAACTCTGTCATGGCACGATATTATCCACTTTGGACCTCAACCACGCCCTTACGGTTTTGTTTCTATTATCCACTTTGGACCTCAACCACGCCCTCACGGTTTTATTTCTGAAAACTCACACAAGAACTTCCCAGTGGGTCACCTATCCTAGGAATGCTCATGCCCTAACTCGCTGAACTTCAGAGTTCCGATGGAATCCGAAACCAGTGAGGCCCCAAAAAGCCTCGTGCTAGGTAGAAATGGGAATATACATATAAGGCTTACAGGATTGACTCCCCTGGGCGATGTGGGATGTTACAATCCACCCCCTTAGGGGCCCAACGTCCTCTAATGAGCTCCCAAAAAGTCTCGTGCTAGGTAGAGATGGGAATATACATATAAGGCTTAGAGGATCCACTCCCCTAGGCGATGTGGAATGTTACATTTAATATGTATCTAGAGTCATTAATATATATGTGAGAAATAATTGTTAGGAAATGTACTAGTGCAGGTGGAGCTGATGGTGACGACAAGGGAGATGATAGTATATGATGGTGGCGGCGGCAACAGTGATGATGGTAAGTGGTGGTGGATACAAAGGCAGTGATGGTGGGGACAGGCGGCAGCATTGGTGGTGTTAAGTAGTGGTGAAAGTGACGGTGATGATGGTGTCTCGTCGACAACAGCGACAATGATGGTGAGCGGTGGTGGCAGAGTCGATGGTGATGGTGGGTGGTTGTGGTAGGAGTGGTGACGATAGTAAATAATGGTGGTGGTGGTGGTGGTTATAGTGGGTAGTGCTGGGAGATAATGATGGCTACCCATAGTTGAGTTTTTTCATTTTTTTTTTAGACACCCATGAAAATTCAAAATAACAACTATTTATGTGCAATTTAAACTTACTAATTGAAGGTCCCACATTCTCTTTATTGCCCACCTAAAAATTTTAAATTTCTATACTTACAAAATCCAAAAAAGAGAATAAAGAAATTAGCGCATGTTAATTTGTAAATCCCAACTTTTATCCAAATTTCAAGTTTATATCCCTCATCCATACCGAGGGTAAATTTTGTTTCTAATTCCTTCACAAGCCAAAGATGGAAAAGCAATAAAATAACGTTTTCTAGTCTCTTTCCCAACATCATCCTAACTAGCGTTCATCCAATACAGACAACGTAGCTACTTAAAGATAACAAATCCCATGAACAAAGTAATTAGCCTTTTCCAATCCATCCATAAAATACGATTAACAGCGTAAATACTTAAAAACATCATGCTATCCTACAAAAGCCCACAAACTCTTTAGTACATAAGACTTGAGAGTCATAACTGTGGAAAGAAAAGCCTTCCCAAGGGTGATAACAGGAGCCGACAAAGGCATCTCGTTAGACAGAAATGCCTTGGGAACCATGCATATATAAATACTAACCATACAAATCGTCTTCATCAGCCGCACCAGCAGAAGTTGCGAATGCATCAGAACCAGTTGTCCCAGTTTGTGTATTTTCAGTAAACTTAAACTCAGTTCCGAAACCCCTGGACTGCTGCAAGGTCTGAGCAAAGGCCTGGTATTTGCGTATATCAGCATCGCTGACACTCCTACGAGCATATTTCATCGACTCCTCAAAATGAGCAGCTTTAATCTCCGCCACTTCATCGTCAATGTCCTCATCCATAGAATCTGGATTCTCTGCTCTCCTTCTCTCCCGCTCAATATCCTGCAAACACACCAAATCTTAATGATATATAGATCTAGTGCAGAATTTGACGGCCCGTTTGGTATTCTATTTAAGTTCCACTTTTTTTAACTCAAAAACAAGTTTTGAGTCACAAGTTCAAGATTCTTGTTTGATAGTCCACTTCTCAAAAACTGAACTCAAAAAATAACTGAAAAGCTTTGTTGTTGAACACACAAAAAGTTTGTTTTAAAACTTTTTGAAACTTTTTAGAGATCTCTCTCTCTCTCTCTCCCCTCACTTGAATCCCCCAAAGCCATCACCTCCACCCCTCCCTCCCATGGGCGAGATTAATTGACCGCGGCAAACAGCCACTGGCAATGGTGGCGCACTGGATTAGAGGTTGCTGGACTTCAGATCTGAAATCAGAGACCAAACAGGCATCCCTTGCGGAGTCGGGGGTGACTGGTCAGGGTTTATGGAGTCAAGGGAACGGCCACCGAACTGGGCGGCACGGAAGTGGAGGGAGGCAGTTGTCGGGGACTCAAAAGAGATGATATGATAGAATTTTTGAGAAGTTTGAGTAGTTAAAAAATTTAAATCAAACAGGTCCTAACTTTAGAATGTCTACATGCAGTAAATATCAAGCCAAGTCTACGAGGTCCAAACTTTCGGTATGCAAACAAGAAAGGTTCTTGCATGCTTCAGCAAATGAAACGACATACCAGTCATTCCCTGTCTACATAAAGAAAATATTGCCATATAAAGGTCCCACCAGCTACAACCCAAAGAGAGGAACAGAACAAAATCCGACATGCAAAGGTTTGAAAATCAAATTGGGATCCAAACCAAATTAACAGCTCTGAACAAGCAGAGCTTGCAATTTCCAGAACTCACTTGCATAAGCAGAGTTTGTAATTTCCAGGACTCACGACACTGAAGTTTGCACTTCATATTTGATCAATTTTACACCAACTAAATCTTAAAAGTCCAACCAAGACTACATGCGATCCTTTTATTTTTCTTCCTCTATTGTTGGTGAGATCATGCGAATTTAAGTTATCAAAAATCACTACTAGTCTATATGTGCATCAATGGGAAGCTAAAGTTACTAAACATTTGAAGAACTAGAATGACAAATGAGGACGTACCTTTTCTATATTCTCTCTTATGGCATACTTGCATGACCGCTGGCAGATCTCTGTGATATCGGCCCCACTAAAGCCCTGTGTATATCTAGCCAGTGCTCTCAGATCAACATCCTTTGAAACAGGTGATTTTCTCAAGCAGGATTTAAATATTTGGAAACGTGATTCTTCATCTGGAAGAGGAATGTAAATCAATTGGTCAAGCCGGCCAGGGCGTAGGAGTGCTGGGTCAATGATGTCAGGTCGGTTTGTGGCCCCAATAATGAAAACAGTCTTTTTTGCTGACATGCCATCCATTTCAGTCAGGAGTTGGTTAAGAACACGATCAGCAGCACCACCTGCATCCCCAGAACTGCTTCCCCTCTGCAACAATCAGTGGAAAGTAAAATGAAGACCAACAAACCAAAAGGAAAATAACGGTAAGAATTAAATCAATTCACTTAGCTAATTAACTTTCAGCAACTCAAATTAAAAGGCAATTAGAACCAAATTTCATACTTCAGGTAGCTTTAATTTATACAAAATTTTATGTGAAGATAATAGTAAATAAAAGTTAATCTGATCAGGAAACAGACCTGCGTAGCAATGGAATCAAGCTCATCAAAGAAAAGGACACACGGTGCAGATGATCGAGCCTTGTCAAAGATTTCTCGCACATTGGCTTCACTCTCACCAAACCACATGGTTAGCAGTTCGGGGCCCTTAATACTGATGAAGTTAGCTTGACATTCATTTGCAATCGCCTTGGCCAAAAGAGTTTTCCCACATCCTGGGGGCCCGTAGAAAAGTACTCCTTTAGAAGGTGACATGCCAAATTTCTCAAACTTCTCCGGGTGCTCAACAGGATATTGAACGGTCTTTTAAGCAAACAAGGCAGGAATTAGAAAGAGTTAGCTGTAAGCACTGCAGATAAAAAATTACAAGATATGAACATAATAGCAATAAATAAAGATTATTACCTCTTGTAACTCCCGCTTAACATTCTCAAGGCCTCCAATATCCTCCCAACTGACATTAGGAACTTCGACAACCTGCACCACATCAAAGTTGAAACAAAGATTTTTAAAAAAAATATTTTGAAAAATAAAATTTTCATATATATAAAGAGAGGACTCTGTCATATCTCGAAGATATAAATCAACAGTTCTATACATTAGACAGGATCCAAGCGAAAGAATCACTCACTGTTTCACGCAAAGCAGATGGATTGCTTGTTCCAAGAGCAGTCTGGAAGTGCTCGTTTGTAACAGCCATTGAATTAAGTATCTCCGCATCAATGGATTCGTCTTCCAAGTCTATCACATCCATCTTCTCCCTAATACATTGCAGAGCAGCTTCAGTGCAGAGAGCAGCAAGGTCAGCACCAACATACCCATGAGTATCCTTGGAAATCCTCTCTAGATCAACCTGTACAGTAGGAAGCATCATTTAGAACACCTGAATAGAGATAAATAATGAAAATGGAAACCAAATTGGCATTTAAGTGAGAAACTTTGACAAACTGTAGTGCCAGCTCTGAAAAAATATCCAGATACTTCGTACTTATAGGATGGGCCATCTAACCTAAGCTTCAGTAAGCTCAGATAATGTGTCTAACTTGAAGTTTTAATAATTTTAACTTAAGGTTTCACCACCTTGATTAACCAGATCTGTTTATACTTGGGAACCAAAGCAGTCACAATGTATTCCAGATACAGCAAATGTTTTACCCTAGTAAAAACTTAGTGAATAAAGGAGAGGTTCAACTTACATCATCAGAGAGTTTCATGTTCTTTGTGTGTATGCGGAGAACTTCAAGGCGCCCCACTTCATCAGGAACACCAATGTCTATCTCCCTGTCAAACCTACCAAACCTTCTCAAAGCCGCGTCAATACTGTTTGGACGATTTGTAGCACCAATAACGATAACATGGGCTCGAGATTTCAGTCCATCCATCAGAGTCAAAAGCTGGGAGACAATCCTCCTTTCAACTTCACCATGTGTCTTCTCCCGCTTAGGAGCAATTGAGTCTAGCTCATCGATAAAGATGATGGATGGAGCATTCTTCTCCGCTTCTTCAAATGCCTTTCTGAGATTGCTCTCACTCTCTCCAGCCAATTTTGACATAATCTCTGGTCCGTTAATGCAAAAGAAAAAAGCACCAGTTTCATTGGCAACAGCTCTGGCTATTAATGTCTTTCCTGATCCCGGGGGTCCATAAAGTAGAATTCCTTTCGGAGGTTTAACACCAATTGATTTGAAGAGTTGGGGATGCCTTAGTGGAAGCTCTACTAGTTCACGGATTTGAGCCATCTGCTTCCGAACACCACCCACGTCATCATAACCAACTTCATCCAACCTTTCCTCATCCTCCCTTTTCACGGGTTCCCCCTCACAGAAGATCTCCGTGTCAGGGGAAACCACACAATATTCTCCTGGGTCAGTTTCAATGACCTTGAACTCTACACTTCTCATTCCTCCTCTGACAAGGAACAGATCTCCTTTCCTCACAGGGCGATAAGCTTCCAAGAAGTAAGCTGCAAACCAATCAAGGGGATAGCGCAAGCCAAGTTTTAGTGTCCAAGTCTCAAGAAAAAATCTAAAAAACTTCAATCCAATACAAAATGGCAGACAGCATGCTGAGGTAGTCCAAATCATTTGGCATCAAACTTACAATTTTTCTACGAAATGGAGTGAACAGTTAAATGGAGTAGGAAGCAATCCTAATAAACACTAACCATTAATGTAGATGTAACATAAACGCTTATAAAAGGCTACCAAGAGGAACAAAAAAAAAACGAGAAAAGCACACTAATCTGTTCCTAGAGCAACAATCACCACAATGACCCTGGGAAAGTCAAATGTAGGTGGTCTTGGATGGGCCTGAATAAACAAGTACAACACAGAGATAAATATTTTAAAAGTAAAAAAAAAGACCACCAAAGAGGTCAACAACTCACGTTTCAAAAAGGCATCAAAGAGATTTCCTGTAACTCCTTCAATAGAGTCATCAATAGGCAAAATGTGAACACGCTTCCCATACTTAACATCAGGGCATTGATGTACAGACACAACATCTCCAAGTCGAACCCTTAAATTTGACCTGACAACCTTGTTCATCCTGATTCTTGGCTCTTCACAGGTGTCATCAGCAAGTGCAATGCAGATTGTGTCTTTTCGTTTCTTCCCCTGAAACCCCAATCGCAAATAATAAAAATACATATATGACATAAATCAGAACCTCCGAAAATTAAAAAAAAACAGCGTCATAAAAATAAAGTATGACAGAAAAACACTTGGGTCTTACTCCGTTGATAAAATCCACGTAACGAATATCTATTTGCATCAGGATGCTACCTAACAGGTCCCAAACAAGTAAAACTGATAACTTTCCACCTTTTATTAATTCTAACTTAAACTTCCAAACCAATGAATACAGAACAACCTAATTCTAGGTTTGAACTATATTTGCAATTTCTACCACAATTCACGATCTAAAGCAACTTGCTTCATAGAAATACAGATTATGAAACAAAAAAAAAATAAAAAAAAATGCCCTAAAACCTCATCCAACAAAACCCTGGCGTGAAATTTTAATTTTCAAATTTTTTTACAAGCTACCCTAAATCTTATTTTTCTGATTAGATTGAAATAAAGCAGTACCTTGATGAGGATAGTGTCACCGCGGAAAAACTGGAGCTTTTCCATGGTTTCGGGATGCATTGAAACGACGGAGTTATCGTCGTTTAGAGCTTCATCAACGACGAGACGGTTCGGCGACTTTTTCCGCTCCAAAATTGCCGTCGAGAAGTCCTTCTTCTTCCTGCAAAACGATGAAATCCCCAATCAGAATTTCAAAAATTTACGCAAATAAAACGGAAAAGAAAAACTTCGATATATGAAAATTGTGGAAAATGAAAACAAAATTAATGGCAGCGGTTGACTCACGAGTCGGACGATTCGGCCGGGTGAGCCATGGTTGGAGAATTTCAGAGATCAGGAACTATGGTAGACGGAGGGGGAGAGAGAGAGAGAGAGAGAGAGAGATGGAGTGTGTGGGAGGATTATCTTTCAGGGTCTGAGTTTTTATGGGGGATGACTTGTTTGGCAGGAAATATTTCTCACTAGTGGGACTGTTTGGTTATATGGAGAGGCAGTAACCGGAATTGGAATTGGAAATCGGGACAGAGTAATTAGAAACTTCCAAACTTAGCTCGTCTCCAATTATTTAAAAAAGAAAAGAAAAATAGAGTTATTTAAGGCTTAAAGTTCAAAATTTAGGAAGAGGAACCTTTCCTGATCCATTTTGTGGGAATCCTAGGAATCTACACATCCTAGCCGTTCATCGTACATCATGCGGTCTGTTTACGTCAGGTATTATTTGTGTTTAATTTTAAATTAAAAAAATTCAAATGATTTCTAATCGCACAATGCACGATAAATGACTAAGAAGTGAGGATCTCTATGATCCCACAATTTGGATCCAGATGGGTTCCAAATCCCAAAATTTAACCTCAAAGAGTTAGTTTATTGGAAAACGAGCAAAAGTTTAAAATTTCCAAATCGAGTCTGAATTTCACGAATGCATTTTAGAGTTACTAAATTTGACTCGGAAGCTAAAAGTGTGTTGTCTCCTCATGTGGTACCACAGAATAAACCAAATTCATCTTTATCCTTATTTGCGGCAATTTTAACTTAAAAAGAAAAGCAATTAAATTTTTAATTTTCTTTTGGTTTTAGTATTAAGAAAATTACAAAGTAATGATGAATCTCACATATAGATTATTCCGTTATAGAGTATTACTTTAGAAAAGTTTTATTGTACCCTAAGTATTGTCACCAATCACCATGGAGTGGAATGATGATTTAATTGGACAAAAATACCAAAAGTTTTGATTAGTAGTTATTAGGGTAACTTGCCTCTCATGCTTTGATTCAAGCAATATTCTACCCTAATTTAAACCACAAGAAGAGTTATTTGAATTTTAGCGCAGATAGGAGGGAGTACATTGCTCTAGACGACTTGACTACTACCAGTCCCAAGTCTACAAACAACGAGATTACTCCCCTCACTCATACGTACCGAACTTTTTCGACTGTAATAATCTAGTCCTCATTAATTGAAGAATAATACTATTCACAAACTCTTTTTTGCCTCCCACACTCTTGTTAAATTTTGACCACTGATCTTCAATTCACTCGATTTGACGGCTAGAAATCGAAAAGCGTGTAAAGGGTAAAAATAGGTGTGTATAGCATCACCCTATTTGAAATGAAAATCAGGCATGAAATGCAGATCTCAGGTCTGTAAGCATTCAAAATAACAAGGAGTTGGCAACAAAAGAATAATCAGCAAAAGCTCCCTAAAACGTGCACTTTCTCATTCATAGACGATAAAGGTACATGCCAAAGGCTGCATGAAGTTACAAAAATGTGATGGCTGAAATACAACACTAATGGCCAGTGGCAACTTCATTCATCTTGCACTGTTTGTATCCTGATTACACTTCAAAATCTTACGTATATACTTTTTGTCGCCTACACGAAAGTACAGTGAAACAAAGAAAAGAACACGATACCCGACAGCCATTAGAAACAAGATCAGTAAATTTTCCCACTTGGAATTGCTGTCTGGGGAGATGTCATATGCGTTACTAAGAGCTTGATACCCGGATATGGTCCTTACCTGCCCAACTGGAAAGGATGTCCCTACGTACTCATTCTCCAACAGCCCCTGTAACAGGAAGGTAATAGTTACGAATGTTCAGTTAAAAAAACATATTAAAATTAACCAACTAGTTCCAAAACATCACTCCGGAATGCTTTGTTCCCTTCCCAAATTCGAGAAATTTGAAACTAAGCCAGGTTGCTCAACAATTGTTTTTCAGCGTTGTTATGCAGCAAGGAAGAAAATACATGGGACTAAGTAAATCCTCTTGCCTGTATAGAGTATGTATGGAAAGCTAAATAGGATACTGGATATTTCCACACTGGTCCAGGCAAAGCATTTCGAATTCTGAAATAGCCCGCGGATAGCATCATTACCACCTGAAATTCCATATGTATTCAATGTAAGATTAGGGAAGGATAGAAAACTGATTATAACGTTATAACACCGCCAATCTTGGTCAGAAAAGCAAAATTACAATTTATATCACGGACATTCATTGATATGATACCCGAGACAGTTTTATTGCACACCATGCCATAAAACACAACTGCGACGTATTTTATGATTTGGTTTCACAGTTTAGTTTATCCAAGCCCATACCAAATTTAATGATCTTTGATCAGGAAAAAGCAGTATGATTTACCATGCGGAAAAATGTAAAAGTTCTTGTTCGTTTGCAGATGACTTCAAGTACATTATTTCATTGAGATAAGAGGAACTTACTTGTATGCATATCAGAGTGAGGGTGCTCCAGAAAACATCTTGCCATAAAGAAACAACCACCAGCATTATCCCATCATTAACTAAGAGGCACATGAAGAAATTCAGCATGAAGTACATCAACAAGCTAAACTCATCATGCAATCCTATAAGGAAATAGAAGACGACACTTGATGGGATGGAGATGAGAAACAGGAACGGGATGCTAGAGAGAAGCTGTCCACATAAAAAGACTAGTGCCCCCAAATGGTGGTTCGATTCTTCACTGGCATATATCTACAGTATCCATAATCAGTTTATTAGAAGAATCACGAAAACAATGAACTTAACTTATTACAGTTTTTATAAGAATGTCCTATAATTTCCTAGAGAAGACCAGCTACTCAACTGGCAATACTAATACCTTATCATCATCGCAAATAAATGAAATGTCTTTAACACTGCCGAAGTTTAAACTGAGAGATAATTTTGGATCTCTAAATCTTGGGTTCTTTCAAGAAAAAACTTAATACCAGCATAACTCATATAATTAATCTACCAATGTTGCCACTATATTAATCATAACCAGGCAAACTTTCACACTACTTTAAGTCAAAATCTAAGACATGAATCAATCAGGATTACCTTGATTTCTTTGATATATGCAGGTACTCCAGAAATGCTTAGCAGTGCAGTAAACGAAATAAATACAAATATCGCTGCAACTTTTGTCTGCATATAAAAGGTTTAACATTATTTAGAATATATCACATGCTCCAGCAGCGTTTGCTAGTGCAGTACAGAACAAAAATAAACATTACTTCAACTCAACTTGACCGCATGCGAGAGTAAAAATTTTGAAAGAAGTGTTAAATTAAGAAAGTGGCATTCATAAAGGAGAACTGAAAACAATTTCCGAAATATGCAATCGACTTTTATTTTATTTTCTCGGTGATTGAAAAAAGTGATGCTAAGTAACTCACCACAACTGAAGACAAAGAATGCCCTGAGCCAGAAAATACTGTTCCAACAGAGAGTGTAAAAATCATATAAAGAACAAGACGAAGCCAGTAGTATTTCCAATCCCTTGACATTATTAATAACGATCTCCAAGTTAAAACTGCTATCCGTGTAGCAGCTCCAGCCCTTCCCTTGCTTTTAAGTACCAGACCTTCCTATAGGAGCATATGCACATCAGAAGTTAACAAAGATTACAGAACCCAATATATATGCCAATATGTAAACATAACCAAATTATGGAACACCATATGGAAAACAGGAAACTTCCGATATAAAACAGAAATCACAGCTGCATATCAAATTTTTACCTTATCTGTGAGTCTCAGTATCATAGTTTCAACTGCAGCAGCATCTGCTGATGTTTTATAAGTTGCTTCAAGGGTGCGTATTGCCACAGCAGTATCCATGTTCACCGATGAAAAATCTCCGTTGTCATCCTGTCATCACGTTGTAGTTCATGCAAAGCATATGTTAAACAAAGTGAATATCCCACTAAAGTCTAAGACATATTGGACCACAGTTATTATGGTGAATTCATAACAAACCATTGTCAGCCATCCTTCCACTTTTAAGTCAAAATAAAAACATACAGTCCAACAAATTTGAAACTTCTCAAAAGGAAAATTATAATGTACGAATTTAAGGCATAGAATTAGGAAAACTGCAGCATCCTGTACTTACCTGCCAATTTTTGCATGTTGAAATGATCTTGTCGAAATCTGTATTTATTGCCCGTAAAAAGTGATCTGACGGACTTTGCATAATTGGACAAGGAAATCCAGCATTTGAGAAGTGCTGAATCAACATAAAGTGCATGTTAGCAGTTATCTACAATTCTCCAATTAGCTCCCAAAAACATAAAAGAACAAAAAATAAATAAACATAAAAACACGAAATTTTAGAATTTTAATTTTTATAACATAATCAGTTTCTTGAATTTCTTCTCTTACGCAATAATCTCAACCATATGAAACACACAACACTAATAAGAAAATAGTACCTTGTTTAAAATGTTAATGACAAACCAGACTAATTTTACGGTCAGTGAGCCCAGAATTAAAAAGTAAATGACAAAACAGACTTATTTAAATGTCATTTACCTGCAAACAAGCCAAGGTTTCTCCAAAAAACAGGGTATTTCCATTTGAAAGAAGACATATCCGATCAAAAAGGCCAAATACTTCTGTGCTGCTTTGGTAAATGGTAAATATAATGGTGCAACCCGTACTTGCAAGTTTCTTCAGTGTTACCATCATCAGAAGTGCGGAGACACTGAAAAAAATAAAAACCACTTCAGTTATGGTACTTTAAGGAATCAAATATATATCAAAAGAAAGGCAATTGGTCATGAGCATGGAGTCCATGCGATAAACTACATATGGATAAAGGAGACCTAATCAATACAATTCAATGATGCTGCAAGATCCCTCAGGAAATAATGCAGCAACAATCCTATATTGTATCAATTCTACGGTTAGCTAAATTATTCTTGGAAATCATCAAGTTGACAACTTAGCGCACTAATATTTATATATCTTACGATTTCTTCAAAAACATAAAATGCAACTGAGAGACTTCAAAGACAATTATAGAAACTCGTAATTTAGTTACACACAAAATAGTGCTACACTGACAATTTACCACACCATGGAATGGAATAATGTAGAGTGCACGGCAAACAGAATAAATTTTACCTATCAAGATGATAAAGGGGCTCA